GCAGGCAGACAGACAGACAGACAGGCATAGAGACAAACAGACAGACAGTCAGCCAGCCAGCACAGCCAGCCAGTCAACCAGACAGCCAGACAGCCAGACAGACAGACAGACAGACACCTACTTTGTGCATGTGGCGCACAGTCTCCAGTGGGTAAGATCCCTTGGCGGTCTCCCCCGACAACATGACACAGTCGGCCCCGTCCAGAACAGCGTTGGCCACGTCGCTCGACTCGGACCGGGTGGCCCGCGGCTTCTTTGTCATGCTCTCCAACATCTGGGGGGAGAGGTGGGGGCGGAGGAGGAGGGGGAGGGGGAAAAAGAAAAGGGGGTGGGGGAAAGTCAGAATGAAATGATTCACTTTTGTTTATTGTACATGCCTGTAAAAAATGTACATGTGTACTACAAATATGTCTGTGAGTATAAAATATATATGCATGTGTGTGTGGGGCACTGAGGTAAAGCCAGGCACTCATCAAAATAACCAAATCAAAGAAACCAACATTCTTATAGCCGTTGGCCAATTTTTTTTTTTTTTTATCGAACTTTCATTTTTGGCTCAACATCCTTTAAGTCTGTCTCATTTTACAGAATTTTATTTTTTGCAACCCGCATCAACGGCACAAAAAAAATGTAAATTTGCGGTTTCCAAAGCCACTCTAGCTTTGGAAGTGCCCAAACTCTGGCTCCTATTTCCTCGCTTATTTTCTCCCAGACCAAAATATCTCGAACTCTATTCAAAACAGATTGGTATTTTATTTTTTTTCATCAAAAGCAAGACAAATAAGCAAGCTTTAAGATGATACAACTACTTAAAATGCCCTAAAAATTGCTCAGCGCCTGATTCCTCTGTCTTGACATAATATGCTCGCTTTTAAGGACAAGCGGACTAATCCAGATTTCAGGGGTTTCCAGAAATCTTGACCTACACCAAACGTGGGCATTACCCTACCTGTAGGAGAAGTTTGGTTTCGTTGGTGTGTATATTTGTTTGGTTATAGAGAAAACTCTCCTGGTCTTTTAAAGAAACTGAAAAAGGGACAAAAACTTTTCCTTCAATTTTCTCGAAACAGCATTTTTTCGGACAACCCCCTTGTGCTTAAAAGCGAACCATACATTGATATTATATTATGACACAACCCTCCAAAGCCCTCGGTATTATCATAATACTTTCTAACTATTTGGGGGGGGGTTGAAAAAAAAATGTAGCCCGGTCGTTAATTTATTCATTCAGTTATTTTATTTCTTCACTCAGTACCTGTGTGGCGCAGATGACAGGTTTTCCCGCCCGGTTGCAGCAGCCAATCATCATCTTCTGCGCCAGGAAGACCTTCTCTGGTGGGATCTCGATACCCATGTCGCCACGGGCAACCATCACTCCGTCTGTCTCTTCCAGGATCTCCATGAAACTGTGGAGGCAGAGGGTGGTGTTGTTGTTGTTGTTGTGGTGGTGGTGGTATTGTTGTTGTGGTGGTGGTGGTGGTGGTGTTGTTGTTATTCCTGTTGTTGCAGTTGTGCCTGTTGTGGTGGTGCTGGTGGTGTTGTTGTTGGGTTTTTTTCTTCTCATGTCCTGATTTTGGTGCCGATATTCGTAGGTTACGTAAAAAAACATATTCTTAAAGTTTTAAAAAGAGTTTTACGGCACTTGCAACACTATAAGGTCATAATAGAAGTGCCGAAGATTAGAGGTGTTACAGGAGAGTAACAAACACAAAAGAAGCAGGAGAGATAAAGATGATAGATGTTGGACAGGAAAGAAGGACCAAACCACACCAGAGCACCCACCAACCACCCACGTTGTTGATGTTGTTGTTGTTTTTGTTGTGGTTGCTGTTGTTGTTTCTGTTGTTGTTGTTGCTGTCCTTTTGCAATCATAGTAGCTGTTGTTGTAGTAATTGGTTTTGTGATGGTTGTTTTTTCTGGTGCTGTTGTTTTGTAGTCATATTAGCTGTTGTTGTTGTAGTAGATATTGCGGTTGTTGCGGTTGTTGCGGTCGTAGCTTGTATTTCTGTTTTGTGTGTGTGTGTGTGTGTTTTTATACATAATATGTACGTCTGTATGTTGATCTACTTGTGAATACCCTGGTGGTTCTCCAGTTTCGAGATAATCTTGTGTGTGTGTGTGTGTGTGTGAGTGTGTGTGTGTGTGTGTGTGTGTGTGCGTGCGTGTGTGTGTGTGTGTGTGTGTGAGTGTGTGCGTGCGTGCGTGTGCGTGTCTATTGACCTACTTGTGAATGCCCTGATGGTTCTCCAGCTTGGAGATAATCTTGATGTTGGCTCCCTTGGGTCCCAGAATCTTGCGGATTTCCTTGATGCCGGCCGCGTCTCGGATGAACGAAGCAAACACCATGTCTACCTGCACACAGACACACGGACGGACAGACGGTTTTAGTAAGAGTTTTATGGCATTTGCAACACGGAAAGGTCATAAAAGTGCCGAAGATTAGAGGTGTTACAAGAGAGTAACATACACAAAAAAGGAGGAGGAGAGATAAGGATGCAAAGAGGGAGCAAACCACACCAGAGCACCCGCCAACCACCCACACAGACAGACAGACAGAAGGTATGCTTGATTGTTAGCTAGTTTGTTCGTACGAGTAAAAGGAAACACAACGATAAAATATTAGCTTTTCAAAAGAAATAAAAATCATGATAGACAGAAACAAGAACAGAGAAGAAAAGAAAAGAAGTAGGACGTACCAGTTGAGTTTTTGTAAGAGTTTTACAGCATTTGCAACAGAAATGGATGATACAAGTGCCGCAGATTTGAGGTGTGACGAGAGTAAGGTACAGAGAAAAGCTCTCTCAAGCTCTCTCTCTCTCAAAGCATGCTCTTCCTCTACATTAAACTTGAGCTCCTGTTTGCCCTCACCCCTCCATGTTTCAAACCTTTAACCCATCACTTCTAACTCTCTCACCCCCC